ATATACCAGTGCCACTCTACAGGTCTTCATGGCCGACCCTACAGGAACTGCTGGGGAAAAGTTTCTGATGTTCATGCACACAGTGTGCATACACCTGAATTGGAATCGATGTGAACAAGCACTCGAAGAACAACAACTGAATACAGTGGACAGTTTTTTAACAAGACATTACTAAGAATACAAGAGCACACTATTCCATTGTGTAGAAAAGATTCGAAGTATGATAAGAGACCATCCTGGATTAACCAAGAGATCTTGGTTGATCTAAAAATCAAAAAGGAGTCTTACAAAAAGTGGAAAGTAGGTCAAATTAACCAAGTATGTCAGGCTAAAATTAGAAAGATGAAGGCACAAAACGAGCTCAAACTAGCTAGACCATGGGTTCCCAAACTGGGGGGGCGTGAAGAACTTCCAGGGGGGGCGGTGAGGGGAGCCAGCCACACCCCCCCCCCCATCAATCCTACCCCAAGTTTTGCTGCTATTTTTTGAGAGGGGGGGGCATGAGGGTTTCTCAAAAATCAAAAAGGGGGCGTGATGCCGAAAAGTTTGGGAACCACTGTCCTAATGCATGAGATCCCTGTGGAAAGACAGGAGCAATCTGTACCATCATGCTAATAGGAAGACCAAGGACAGGGTAGGACAATTACTAAATGAAGAGGGAAAAACAAAAACAGAAAATATGGAAATGGCAGAGGTGCTTAATTACTTTTGTTTCAGTTTTCACCAAGAAGGTTCTGCAATGAGGGAGAAGTCCCCGATGCAACTTTGGCCTCCAAGAGCCCAACTGGTTCCAAGATCCAGATCCTGAGTAACTCTGGTGTGGAGACATCTTTATCTATGCAGTGGGAGTGGCAGGTCATAGATGCTATGAACTATATTCAGCACTCAGAATCAACACAGATCTGTTCGCCATGTTCTGGCCATATTCTCCTGAAGCAGCTGTTGCTACATTATGAAGCTAGCTCCCTGGACACAGTTACTGCCATGGTATTCTTACCTTGCTAAAGGTACTGTCCATGGGGTCAACTAGTAAGGAATGTTCATGGGTTGGAAATACATCAATACTGGAACTCAAAGCAGATGCCCATTCACTTGACTCCAACCTACAGGAGAGAGAGAAACATTCAATTACTTGCTAGAACACATAATGCAGCAACCTGCTCCCATGGGTCACTCAGAAGCCAGAGTCTGTGCAGATCATGGCTGCTGGCCAGTAGAGCAGTGCTAGCCATTAGCAGTGTATTACTCCAGTTCATGCACTGGCTTTCTAGCAACTTCTAGGAGAAGCTGGAGAGGATCCAGAGAAGAGCAACAAAATTGATTAAAGGTCTAAAATACATGACCTATGAGGGAAGACTGAAAGAATTGGGTTTGTTTAGTCTGGAAAAGAGAAGACTGAGAGGGGACACTATGACAATTTTCAGGTACCTAAAAGAATATTACAAAGAGGAGGGAGAAAAATTGTTCTTAATCTCTGAGGACAGGACAACAATCAATGGGCTTAAACTACAGCAAGGAAGATTTAGGCTAGACATTAGGATAAAAACTTACTGTCAGGATGGTTAACTGCTGCAATAAATTGCCTAGGGAGGTTGTGGAATCTCCATCACTAGAGATATTTAAGAGCAGATTAGACAAACACATGTCAGGGATAGTCTAAATAATACTGACTCCTGCCTTGACTGCAGGAGACTGGACGAGATGACTCAATGAGGTCCCTTCTAGTATTCTATGATCATTTGGTTTCAGTGCCCTGGACATACAATGACACAACTGGAAACTACAAACAATAGGCTATGATGCCTAAAAGAAACTGATCAGTCAATGAAGGCCAGATTACAGCATGACTTGAGATGAACCTGTCTGTAAATATTGGGTACTCCCAGGAATCCAAATTACTTACCAGCTCCCTGTGTAAGGGTATGGCCTTAGTGCGAGCCCTATCCCAACTTGTTTGAGTCTTATTTCAAATTAAATTGCAAGCAGAAGCCATGTCTGTCAGAGTCTCTTTGCAGCACCCAGCATAATGGACCCGATCTCAAGTACGCAATCTGGGAATCACCATAATTCAGACAAGGCTTCAAAAGTCTCTGGTGGCTAGACCAGACTTAAGGAGATTTCTAGTTCACAAGTGTCCTAGATTTCAGATGAGGATTCCTTGCTCAGAGAGGACAGTCAATGACCATAAGCTTCCTTTAAATTGGGATTTTAAGGAAAAATCATGACCAACTCTTAGCTATCTAATGTAGAGCCTGGATTTAGTGATTGTGGGCATTCTATGAAAAGCAGAGATGGACAGACAGCTAGAAACTTGGCAATGCACTCAGATAACACTCAGCTTGATTAATTAGACACACTCCACCTTCTGATTCGATCTTGTGCTGCTAAGAAAGCCTCCTCTGCAGCAAGACGCTGGTCTCGTTCCTCCTGCAGCTGCTCTTCCAAATGCCTCAGGTCCTGCTTTGTGCTGCTGTGTAGATGTTTGGCCTCTGATAACCTGGTAGAAAATAGGACACTGAAATGCCCAAACTGCCTCTCTTGGGATCTCTGTTTATATTTTATTCACTGCTCTAGTACATGGGCAGACTCCCTCCCTTGTCTCCACAAGCAGGTGGGTTTTATTCTCTTACTGGAGTGCTGAGATGAGGAGGTGGGTCTTGCACTGAGCCATCAAGGTTTTGTGGTCAATGCAGAAAAGGAGTTCCATAACCATGAGCTAAATGACCCACTCCCACCGTTAGTTCCATTATTCCTAAGAAGCACACTCCTCAGAGTAGGTCTCAGTCCCAGAGGCAGCCCTGGTCTAGCTCACAGAGTCCTGAACATTTAGACCAGGTTCATAAATGTAACCTTATATTTACTGATGAGCCACTACAGTGAATGGGGCACTAAGCTGACGTGCTCTGAGCAGCAGCAATTGCTACAGGTTGCAGTCAGTGTCAGTGTGATTTAATCTAAAGGAATCGTGAGTCACAGCTGAGTGCTCCTCAGATTCCAGAAGGTCCAGCAGGACTCATACTTTTCCCTGCCTCTTTGGGCATCAGCCAGTCCTCAGGATTTACATCTTTTCCCTCCATTCTCACCTCAGCTGTAATTCCTGTAGTTCTGGAGTATAACTCTCTCTTTGAGGTTCATTCTTTTCTTGGGGGGCTCCTGGAGCAGCATCTGTCACAAGTAACCTCTGAAACAGAATGCATGTGTGCAAGCCATCAAGCACCAAATAGCACAATCAGTGAAGAAATGGGAGAACAGGATTAAGTCTCAAGCAGAACAGAATCCAGACCAGCTGCTCTCTCTCACAGTAAAGAAAGTCTGCAGTGAGACTCACCCTTTAATCTGTCTATGCTTTCCCCTTCCCCTCCATTACTCTTCCCCCTTACCATGTCCTTGTTTGGAGATTGTAGCTCCTGCAGCTGCCTCTCCAG